CGACTCCTCCTCCTGATTTGCGTGCTCAGCTCCTTGATCCTCCTGTCGATCTGCCCGTTAGGATCGCTGCTGTGTTGCTGCTTGAGCTCTATGCGCTGATATAGTAGTTGTTTAAGCTCAGCTAGATGCTCACGATGCGATTCGCTGAACAAGGGGGACTCTTGGAGGATGGCGGTGGTGGCGACGCTCAGGACCCCCAAGAAAATCTCATTCATCATGTCAACGTCTCCAGCCTCACGGGCCTCAGTGAACCTTGGGTTGACCTCCCGGGCGATTTTCTCCATCTCTGCAAAAACCTCATGCCTCCTGTAGCCCGTCTGCACGCACTGATACAAGGCTTCTTTGTTCGGCCTGGGTCCTCGCAGGTGCATCTGGGTCTCAGCCACGCGAGCAAAGAGACTGACCACGACAGGACGGTGATCTCGATCAGCGTCGTTGCCTCCCCGATGCAGCCGCCGTGCCGATGTAGACAAGACTCGTGAGACCTCGACAGCTCGACGGAGTTCAAGCGGCAGGAAGATGTGATCTATGTGGCTGGCACTGCCCGTGTTGGATACGAAAGTCGGGGCGCAGTCGAAGTGGCTGTTGATGCTGGTCATCTCCCAGCCGTCAAGCATACGCCGCAATCTCGCCGAGCTCGGAGTTACTTCGCCGTGCCCATATCTGCCAGCGACCTGGTCTTCGTGCCGATGCGGGAACCCACCATTAACGTCGCTGCATATAATCGGGACGGCACCCCGTTCCCCGAAGAACGCCATGGCGTCGCCGAGCCAGTTGTTGAGCGAGTCCAGCGTCCTCTCGTATTTCGCCTTCGCGGCCCGCACGGTCTCCCGCGGGGGGTAGTAGATCGAAATGATGCCGTAGCTAATCCCATTCCTCCTGAACAGAGCTCCCAAGCATCGTCCCTATAAGCTCTTGGGCACTGGTAGGATGCGATTGAGCGAGTTGGGCGTGAAGGTCTTTTTTTCGCACGAGCAGAGCTACGCCGCATGCGCGTGTCGTCATCGATCCCCATGAGTACCCACTCTGAATGCTCCAATACACGCCCACGGTGCGAGTGTCCTCCCACTGCGAGCCCCTGGACTTCATCTGCGTGCCCGTCAACGATATGAAGTCTTTAGCCCCCAGTTCCAAAGAGATGTCATATAAGCGAGAGTGCGTGTTGGCTACCTGCGGGTTGTACTGCACAATGCGGAGCAGTCCAGCCATCGCCGCGGGGCGCTGGCCGCCGCCTGGCTCGCTGCATCAGCAAGGGGAGTCTGCCCCTCGGGAGACGTGGAAGGGTGACTGCTTCAAGGGTGGCGCTTGTGCTAGCGCCAGGCCTGAGCCACCTGGACGAGGAGGAGGAGGAGGAGGAGGAGGAGGACGGGGAGGTGGGGCAGCAGCAGCGGCAGCAGCAGCAGCAGCTGCAGCAGACGCAGCAGCAGCAGCAGCAGCAGCAGCAGAAGCAGCAGCAGCAGCAGCAGAAGCAGCAGCAGGAGGAGGACACCGAGGAGGAGAAGGAGGAACAGCAGCAAAAGCACCGATGGTACACATGGGAAATAAAATAGGTATGTGGGGTTCCTCGGTAGCGTAATTAGCGTTTCTGGGGCCGCCCCCCATACCTGCGCGCGCGTGGTTAGAACAACGCCCCCCTTTATTTGCTCCCCTGCGCCATTTTCAGCCTCCAGACGGCTCCAAGACAGCCAAAAACGGCCCCAAGACAGGCTCGTTCTGAAGACAGTCTGAAATGCGCCGAAGACGGCCCCAAGTGTGCTCAGGATGGGCCCCAGGGTGAAATCGAGCTGGACTGGAGAGCCTTTCCAAGAAGAAACCCGCCGACCCCCTTGGCGTGTGTGAAGGGCTTATCCGTTCGAGTCGGCCTTTTCCGTTGGAGTCGTCGTCTCCGTCCTCCTCTGTTCCGCTTGCCCGGGCCCTCTTCCTCACTAAAGGGGCCCTGGGACACACAAACAAGTGGCACGTGTGCCATGGTTCTTGCACTAAAAGGAAGGGAGAGGAGGAGGAGGTGGATGAGGAGGGGGGAAGAGGGGGCCAGACATCGCCCTTCGGGGCCCGGCGACGGGGCCTAAATCCCAGGTGGGGAGGGGGGGGAGGTGGTGTGCGTCGCGACAAGGAATAAAATGCTCGGGGCAGAGGGGGCACGGGGCGGAGGTCCCACTGGGGCGCTGGGGGCGCGGAGAGGAGGGGGGGAAGGTGGTGTGCGTCGCGACGCGGAATCAAATAGTCGGAGCGGGGGGGGCATTGGGCGGGGCTTGGGGCAGAGGGCCACGGGGCGGGGGTCCAACTGGGGCGCTGGGGACGGGGGGAGGTGGCGTGCGTCGCAACGCGGAAATAAAGTGTCGGGGCGGAGGGGACACGGGGCTGAGCCCCCACTGTGGCGTTGGGGACGCGGGGAGGGAGGTGGGGGAAGTGGTGTGCGTCACGACGCGGAATAAAGCGTTCGTGGCGGAGGGGGCAGTGGGCGGGGCTGGGGACGCGGGGAAGGGGGGTGCGACGCGGGATACAACGTTCGTGGCGGGGGGGCAGTGGCGTGGTCCCGATGGGGCGCTGGGGACGCGGGGGGGGCTCGGAGCAGGGAGCCACGGCGCGGGGGTCCCACTCTGGCGCTGGGGACGCGGGGAGGGAGGTGTGCGACGCGGAACAAGTGGCACGCGTGCCGTGGCTCTTGCACAAAACAGAGGGGGAAGAAGGAAGAGGAGGAGGAGAAAGAGGAGGAGGAGGAGGAGGAGGAGGAGGAGGAGGAAGAAGAAGACGAGAAGAAGGAGGAGGAGGAAAGGGGGGAGAGAGGGGACGAGAAATCGGAGAAGTCTCGGGGGAGCGGGACGGCGGGGGCGGTGCGACGCAGAAATAAAATGGTCGGAGCGGAGGGGGGGCGGGGTGCACTGGGCGGGCGGGGAGGGGAGAACGATCGTGGAGGCGGGACGGTGGGGGCCGTGCGAAGCAGAAGAAAACGTTCGTGGCGGAGGGGGCTGTGGGCGGGGTTCCCGATGGGGCGCTGGGGACGCGGGGGGGCTCAGGGTGACTGGGCTGGGCTCCTACCGGGGCGCTGGGGACGCGGGGGGGGGAGGGTGGGGGAGGTGGTGTGCGTCGCGACGCGGAATAAAATGGTCGGTGCGGAGGGGGCACTGGGCGGGGGTGGCTCCCGCTGGGGCGCTGGGACGCGGGGGGCTCGGGGCAGGGAGCCACGCGCGGGGGTCCCGCTCTGGCGCTGGGAACGCGGGGGGGGTGCGAGGCGGAATAAAGTGGTCGGAGCTCTAAGACACCCTGTGCAAGAGTATAAAGCGTTCGTGGCGGTGGGTCAGGGGGGCGGGGCTCCCGCTGGGGCGCTGGGGACGCGGGGGGGCTCGGGGCAGGGAGCCACGGCGAGGGGGTCCCACTCTGGCGCTGGGGACAGCGGGGGGGGTCGACGCGGAATAAAAAGTGGTCGGAGCTCTAGACACCCTGTGCAGAGGAATACAATACACACAAATAAACCGGATTCCCCATATTTGTTATTTTTTTGGGTCATATTTCCTTATATTTTCTGGGGGATCGATGATTAATTGTGCCGTGTTTTTTTTTTTTTGTTCCCTCCTGACTCACACGCGCCGCCCAGAGCACAAAACGCAACACTGGAGTGCAACCGAAGGGAAATCGATCCCTTCCCTTTGATCCCTTCCCCGCGCTGCGGGGGGTGGGTCCTGGGGAGGCGGTCATGGGGAGTCCCGGGGGGTGGGGTGCTGCCGCGGGGGGGGGGCACCGATACGTCTCCCCCCCTCCGGCCCCGGCCCAGGCCCCCGCTCCCGCCCCGGCCCCAGACCAGGACACGACCCAGCCCAAGGAAAGAGCCGCAGTCCGGGTTCCGGCCCAGGCGCCCCCGCCCCTGGCCCCTGGCCCCAGCCCCGGCCGTGGCCCCAGCCTCGGCCTCGGCCCCGCCCTGGCCCTGGCCCCAGCCGCGGCCCCAGCCCAAGCCCCAACAGAGCCCAAGAGGCTCCCAAGAGAGCCCCAAGAAAAGCTCAGAGCGTCAGCGTCGTCGTCGTCGCCGCTGCCGCCGCCGCCGCTGCCGCCGCCGTCGTCGCCGCCGCCCTTCAGGTTGGCGGCACTGGCCGCTAGGTCTTCCCAATCGAGCTGGACTGGAGAGCTGTTCCCTCCAAGACTGCCTCTAAGACCTCCAGCATGCCCCCAGGAGGCCGCCCGAGGGCCCCAAGGCGTCCCCGAGAGGTCTTAAGAGCCCCCCAGGAAGCCCCCAAGAGGCCTCCAAGAAGCCTCCAAGCAGACCACCAAAGGCCCCCCCCTAACGGCTCTAAGGGGACACCGAGCGGCCCTCAAGAAGTCCCAGATGAGCCTCCAAGATGCATTGAAGGCAAAGAAAGGAGGAAGCGGACGAGGCCGAGGAGGAGGAGGAGGAACGAGGAAGACGAACGAAGAAACGATCCAGTTCAGCACCCTGTCTGAACTTCAGCGGGTATTCAAGTAAATCTCCTTCCCGCCAAGCTGTTGCACTGGCTCTGTGGCGGGGCTTGCCGCAGGCAGCTCGCTATCCTCGGAAAAAAATACAAGTCCGCGGCGAGCACTCGCTTGCTTAGCCCTGAGTTGGCTTATGGCAGGTCCGAGTCTATATTATCAGAAGCCCGTACGTCTACAGCCTTCATGGTCGAAGAATGGGAAATCCCCATGATGGGCAATGTTGTGCAAGCAGTGTGCCAACATCTGCCTGATTCTCTTACGGGTGGTCGGAGCGGATAGTTTGCAGTGCACGAGTCGTTCTCAGAAGCAACGGCACTGCTGGATCTATGTGCAGTCAAATCACAGGTGTGATTCTACGCGGTCTCCACTGCGATGCGGATGATGAGACTGGTTTAGTCGCAACCGCAAAGAAAATCTGCCATCCAAACGAAGACAGCGGCATCCAAACAAATTCTGCCATCCGCGTGAAGCTGAATCAGCTGGCCATGGCCACAGAGCGCGGGCGGATTTACGCATGGTGCCGTCAGCCTGGAGGGCCGCGCGACAGGGCGGTGTCAGCCCATGTTCTGCCGTCGAAAGTACGGGGCACGCAGGCTCTGCGCCAGCGTGTTCCGGAACTCCGGGTCGGGCACGAGCAGACATGTGTACAGCAGGGCCTTGAACTGGCCCTCCTGTGACCATGCGGGACGCCTCGGTAGCCCCATGGCCTGCATGGCCCCGAGCCACTTCAGAAATGACATGGTGCCTGCCTGGGCCGACTGGCCAGCGCTGATCTGCTGGTACTTTGCCCGCAGCAGGGGGCACAAGTTGACCAGCTCAGCAATCGTCATGCCCACGCTCCACGCGTCCATACTTGGCTTCACCACCATGCTGCTGCCTTTCACAACCAGGCGGGCAAACTCTGGGGCGCAATAGCATGGTGAGAATGAGACTGAGCTATTGTACATCTTGATTACCGAGCCAGCGCGCACACAGCCGTCCATGTCGATGAGCTTCCACCGGCCGCCACACATCATGATGTTCTCTGGCTTAATATCGAGGTGGACGAAGCCTTTAGCGTGTAGCCAGGCCGTGGCCAGCACGACCTCCCCGGCGATCTTGCGGACGCTCTCGGCGGACAGCGGGGAGCTCCTCTGGCTCCTCAGCCGCAACCAGTCCTTCAAGGTGCACTGAGCCAATTCAGTCACGATGTACAGGCGGCCGTCCGCCTGGTCCGGAGCCGGCTCCCCGTCGGAATCCTTCTGGGGAGACGTAAGACTCGGGTTCGGGGGACTCGGGTTGGCCTGACGGGGCCGGCAGGACAACGACGAGACCCAGCTTGAAATTTGACGCGGGCCCCCGCTACAAACATTCCATGACAACTGGACCGTCAAAACTCGGGACGGGCCCGTCAAAAAGAGCTGGCAAACCCGAGTTCTGGCCAGCTTGAGTCTTGCTTTTCCCCGATCCTTGGAGAAGTCCAAGAGCTTCAGGAAGAGGTCGGCGGGGTCGGCGCTGGCCAGCTCCTCGCACCAGAGCGCCTCCTCCGCGGGCCTCTCCAGGGGCCGCTGCAGCTCCTGCAGCACGCTGACCTGGCGCTTGAACTTGGCGAGCGTGGCAGACCCCTTCCTGGAGGGCTTGTACACCTTGATCGCCACGGCATCCCCAGTCTCCACGTCGCTGCCAAGGTAGCACACGCTCGACGTGCCCTCGCCCAGCAGAGCTTTGTCCCCCTTCGCAAAGGCAAACCTGCCCAATATGCTCTCCCTGGACCGCTCGGAAGCCACCGACGAGGTCGACATCCTGGAATCCGACTTCGAGCCTGTTCTGGTACTCTGCGTCGACGACCCCGGGCTTGCTGGAGCAGACTGATTACCTTTTGACACGGCAGTGGCGGGATTGTCGATGCTGCACGACTCAGTGGGATTGGGTGATTTGGAGTCCACGCACCCCATGTCGCCGAATCTCGCACGCAGTGGCTCGTCCACTCCAGGTGTGGACCGCCACTGTTTGGCGCGGGACGAAGGCCCACCTTCAATCGAAATGGCTTGAGCCATAAATGGCTACAGAGAGACAGGCAGAGCGCAACGGCCCCTCTAAGATGGGCCCAGGATCCCCCAGATGCACCCAAGAGCTCTTTGACAGGCCTCAACAATACAACACCAGAGGCCCCCAAGAGACCCCCAAGAGGCTCCCCAAAGGCCCCGAATCGGCTCCGAAAAAAATCCCAACAAGCTTACATCCTAAGACTCCGCAATGCTCCCGACAATGTTCCCGGATGGGCCGAAAGCCATGAAATCGGAGCCCTCAATCCCCCCCTAAAATCGCCGACCGAACCCTGGATGTAAAGCGCCTCAAGCCTCCATCCTCCCTGCCTCCTGCCTGGACGGGGGCGAGCGAGCGAGCGCCAGAATCGTGCGCGCCACGCTACGGGGCACGCGCGCGCCATCAGTGCATGGCCTGGGAGACCGTGGCTCCGACGGGAAGACCGACACTCAATCTGACGATGCGTGGTCAGCCTCGTCTCCGTCCTGCCTGGGAGCGAGAGGACGGAAGAGGCGGCAAGCTAGAACTCCAAGAACAAACAAAGATATGAACGGAAACATTCGGAGGTCCGCGCGGATTTCTCGGATCGGCGCTGGAGCCCCCTAGTGGCGCCTCCGGCGCCGCCCCCAGCGCGCTCCACGCGCCAGGGCGGGAGTGGGCCCAGCGCAGATCGAAGAACTCCGCGCGGAGCTTCAAAAATTAATGCTTACGTCATCGCTTGTTCCTCGAACGAGGGGAAACTCGGTGCCCAGCGAAGGTGCCCCTCCCCCCGCCGCCTCTGCCACTCGGCGACGCGAGGAAACGGGGGAGGCGGTAGGCCGAGAGGAAAGACTCGCGGGGTGGCGAAGGCTCGTGTCGGGCAGAAGGGGTGGGGGGGGGAACACACACAGGGGCGTAGCGAATCAGCTGCATGCAGCCGGCTTTCCTGTCGCCTCCCGGCGCCAGAAGCGACCACGCATCGACGAGCTTGGTCGGTGGCAGGTGCGAAACCAACTGCATGCAGCAAAGTTCGTAGTCCTAGTCCCCCTTTTCCCAATCCCTGTCCCTCGTCCGCCCCGAAAGAGAGGAGAGACTCAAGACGAGGCCAAAGTGCCCCACCCCCCCACCCGCGCCCCCGCCTTTGCAGCTCGGCGGCGCGACTGGCGCTGTAGACCCTTTGCTGCTGCGGTGGGCCTGGCTGGGTGCTGCGGCGATGCCGCTGGGGCTGGGCCACCTCTTCCGCCTCCACCCCTCCTCTCCACTGAACATGCAGGGAGCGAGTCTTGAGTGAGAGGCGTCCTGGAAAGCCTAGGCCGTCTTCGGGCCCTTCGGGGCCTTCCGCGGGTCCCGACCCGAGGCCGTCGAACACACACTGCACAGGATGGAGAACTGGTCGAAGCCGTGAGCTCCAGGAACCGCCTCCTTTCAGGACCCACTTCCTCCGTGGCGATCATCCTCCCCCTCCTCCCTCCTCGTCGTTGTCCTGTCCATATTCCTCCTCTTGCCCCGACCCTCCTCCCTCCCTCCCCTTCCTCCTCCCTGCCTTCCTCCCTGGCTCCCACCCCGTCCCCTTTGCGTTCCGCCTTCGCCAGGGAAGGACTTGGGATGCAGAAGGACCTGCTAATGCTATGTGCCACTCTGGGACACACACATATATATATATATATACACACAAGGATATATATAGAGAGAGAGATATTGTAGCATATCGTCCCCCGAGCGATATGGCAAGAAAGCGCCCATCACGGAGCTTATAGCATAAGATTTCCGAGCGTGCGCGTCGCCATTGCGTGGCCGACGCGCATATAGGCTGCATGTGATTGGGTGACGCCAAGGACAGGTGGGAAAGAGCAGACCGCTCCTCCCGCTTCCCCTCCGCCCCTTCATCGCCCACACTCAAAAGAGCGGCCCTGGGCCGAGGTGACCTTTTGCTGCGCGGCTGTCGAGGGCCGCGGGGGGGCAAACTCGAGCGCTCAGGCGGGAGCTGAGGCTACCCTTGTTCGGGCGTTGGCACAACTGGGTTTAGTGGGACCTGGTTTAGTGATGTGTACTGGGGGACGCCCCCCCCACCCGCTCCACTAACCGGAACTGCCGTCACCCGAAAAAACACCAACTACGGCAGACCTGGTTTAGTGATCCTGGCAAATTGAGGGGCTCCAGGGCCCTACAACTAACCGGGTCCCCTTACCTGGGGTCCTGGCTATACCCGACTAGTGGGCCAGCATCATCGGTCGCTCTGGCGAAAGGTTACTCCTGCGCGTGGCCGGTCTCACAAGGGAGCAGTGCGCACGGGCCGCAGTCCGTGAGCGGCCTCTGAGCGGCGTCCGAGATGGGCCCACCACGCCCGAGATGGGACGGAAAACATGGGTGGGATGCAATTTTTTCCCAACCATCCTGTGGTGTTGGGTCCTCGTTTTGAAGAGACAGCGCCCCGCGTCCCACCTCTTTCCTCCTTCCTCCTCCTCTCCTCCTCCTCCCTCCTCCCCCATCCTTGCCTTTGCTCTCCGCATGTCTCAGCTCACCCCCTCTTCCCATCATCATCATCATCATCATCATCATCATCATCATCATCATCATCATCATCATCATCATCATCATCATCATCATCATCATCATCATCAGCAGCAGCACAGCAGCAGCATCATCATCATCAACATCATCATCATCATCATCATCGTCGTCGTCATCGTCGCCATCGTCGTCATCGTCGTCATCGTCGTCATCGTCGTCATCGTCGTCATCGTCGTCATCATCGTCATCATCGTCATCATCGTCATCGTCATCATCGGCATCGCCATGGCTGATTCGTTTCGTGGCCCCATAGGGAGCTCCACCGAAGGCCCCAGTGGGGGGGGGCCGCATGCGTCCCCCACGCTCAGGGCAGCGTTTCGTGGCCCCATAGGGAGCTCCAACCGAAGGCCCCAGTGGGGGGCCGCATGCGCCCCCCACGCCCAGCATAGCGTTTTGTGGCCCCATACGGAGCTCCACCGCAGGGCCCAGTGGGGGGGGCCCGCATGCGTCCCCCACGCCCAGCACAGCGCTTCGTGGCCCCACACGGAGCTCCACCGAAGGCCCCAGTGGGGGTGCCCGCATGCGTCCCCCACGCCCAGGACAGCGTTTCGTGGCCCCATAGGGAGCTCCACCGAAGGTTCCAGGTCTACCGTCCGCATGCGTCCCCCCCCCCGCACACTACAGCGTTTCGTGGCCCTCCTCCCCCTCCTCCTTGCTTTTCACCCACCCAGTACGCAGCGCTTCGTGGCCCCATCCACCGAAGGTTCCAGGTCTACCGTCCGCATGCGTCCCCCCCACCCAGTACAGCGTTTCGTGGTCCTCCTCCCCCTCCCCCCTGCGCTTCACCCACCCAGTACAGCGCTTCGTGGCCCCATAGGGAGCTCACCGAAGGTTCCAGGTCCACCGTCCGCATGCGCCCCCCCCCACCCAGTACAGCGTTTCGTGCCCTCCTCCCCTCCCTTCCCCCTGCGTTTCACCCACCCAGTAACAGCCTTCGTGGGCCCACAAGAGCTCCACCGAAGGTTCCAGGTCTACCGTCCGCTTGCGTCGCCCCCACCCAGTACAGCGTTTCGTGGCCCTCCTCCCCCTCCTCCCTGCGTTTCACCCATCCAGTACAGCGCTCCGTGGCCCCATAGCGAGCTCCAAGGAAGGTTCCAGGTCTACCGTCCGCATGCGTCCCCCCCACCAAGTACAGCGGTTCGTGGCCCTCTTCCCCCTCCTCCGTGCGTTTCACCAGCACAGTACATCGCTTCGTAGCCCCATGGGGAGCTCCACCGAAGGTCCCACTGGCACCGCCTGCATGCGCCGGCCACCGCCCAGCACAGCCCTTGCTCCTTGCGTTTCACCCACCCAGTACAGCGCTTCGTGGCCCCATAGGGAGCTCCGCCGAAGGTCCCACTGGCACCGCCCGCATGCGTCAGCCACGACCCAGCACAGCCATTGCTCCTTGCGTTTCGCCCACCCAGTACAGCGTTTCGTGGCCCACTAAGGGGGCTCCAGCGAAGGTCCCAGTGGCATCGCCCGCATGCGTCCGCCACCACCCAGCACAGCCCTTGTTCCCTGCGTTTCACCCACCCAGTGCAGCGCTTCGTGGCCCCATAGGGAGCTCCACCGAAGGTCTCAGTGGCACTGCCCGAATGCGTCAGCCACCACCCAGCACAGCCCTTGCTCTCTGCGTTTCGCCCACCCAGTACAGCGCTTCGTGGCCCCATAGGGGAGCTCCACCGAAGGTCCCATTGGCACCGCCCGCGTGCGTCAGCCACCACCCAGCACAGCCCTTGCTCTCTGCGTTTCGCCCACCCAGTACAGCGCTTCGTGGCCCCATAGGGAACACCGAAGAAGATATTCAGAATTGCGGTACTCACAACTGCATATGGTTGGGTCCTCTGCCAGGCTATTTTTTCCGCCGCGGCGACTAGAATAAGGTCGGGCATGTCCCCCTGCAGGGGGATTTTGGGCGACGAATTTAAAACACTCAGAACATACCCCCCAAATACTCAAAAAGAATCCGAACATCGTCCCCTGACTAATTCTTAAATCTATGTTTGGATATTCGCCCTTGTCGAGGGACAGGCCCGACTTAAGCCTAGGGTCCACAACACACGGCTGGGGCAGCCGAGGGGCGCTTCGGGGGCCAAGCGCAGCAAAGCAGTAGCAAGAGATGGTGCGGAGGGGGGAGACGCCATGGGCGGCGGGTTACGCTCAGCATGCCCAACATGCAGGGACGAAGAAACGACCCTACCCCGGGTTACAAGCGCGTGGTTTGTAAACCTCCTGGGATCCCTCAAGGCCTAGAGCCGCCAGGACGCGGCACATCACGCAAGGTTAACCCTGTCAGCCCGCAGGAATTTCGGCACACAGCGCCTCGTAAACCAAAATAGGGGCGTTTTTCTGCACTTGGCAACCACGAATGTCGCCCAAAACCGACAGTTGCCGCTGTTGGGCAACCCGCCACCTGTCTCGAATGGACGGGGGCACCGACACCGAGCCTAACTCAAAATGAGCAGCAACTGCTGTCGGTTTTCGTGCCCAGTCTTTCCGTGCCCATTTCAATCATCCGACCAGGGTTGTTTCTGAATCGAAAGCGTTCCCGGCTGCAGCGTGCTGGCTGCACCCACAGGATACCCTCTCCTGGAGGAGCAGCATCTACCCCAGCAAAGCATGTCAGAAACAACAACGTAGACATGAGGGTCCCAGACAAACGCGCGACTTGCGTGGGAGTTGGATTGCCGAGCGAAGAGCCAGACGTGCGACATGGTATGTTTTGTGTATAAGAACCGTCAACGAAAATGGACTTTTCGCGAAGCGGAAGAAAAGCACAAACAACACGGAAAGCGCGGCACTGTGGACGTTCGTAGTTCTTGTGCAGGGGATCGTGGCCGTCAGATGTAGCGCGATCAGCCGTCGCTGGCCTGAAAAGGGGGATCAGAAACCTAAAGCTACCGCCCCCCCAAAAAAAACACCGTCGGGGGGGAACAAAGCCCCGTGGTCGTCATGCGTCGGTTGCCGTGCGGCACCGTCGTGGTCGTCGTCGTCATTGCCAGGGCGTGGTGAAGGGGGTTTCCAGCCCCCGAATAATTTTCCCAGGCGGGGGTTCTGGGCCCGCGAATGATTGTCCCTGGGACGGGAGGGGTTTGAACCCCCATTCTGCCAGTAGTGGCAACAACAATTTTTTGCGTCGGCGGCTCGGCAGGGGACGTCTGCGCTGGCGATGGGTGCCTAAACGGGGGTACTGTTAGAGCGAATTGTGCCACCACGCAAGAGGAGGAAAGGGGGGAGGGCGCGGTCGAAAAGGCAACAAAAACAAATGTGCTGTGGCCGCCCGAATCAAAGTGTAGCCGGAATTGAAGCGAGAGCACGCTTCCCGAATACTTGGCTCATGCGCTGATTTGCTATTCGACCCCTCCCCCACACCGCCTGTCAGGATATTTACCGAAACATCCCCACCGCCCGCACAGGAGGGGTATTCCCCGAGACGGGGCCTGCTCATGCCTCCATGCGGAGAAGTGGAAAACGCCGCGACTGGCCCATAGCACGAGGGGCACCATGAAGAACGCGCGCGCGCGCTCGGCAGGATGTGGCATGGGGTGCGCCAGCGTATCGCCCGCACGGGTCTCGAAATGCACAATGGAGCGTTGTCCTATGGGCCCCGGGTCTCCCTGCGACGCTGGCAACTGGCAGCTGAGAAAGCATTGCGGCCCCCCTGCATAATGTCAGCCTGTGGCTCACAAAAGCAAGCGAGGCGCGTGAATAAAAAACGGTTCCTCTGCCTGGGCGAATCGCGGGAGGGGGCCCCCGCCAAATGGAAACTCACGGCGGCGGCGCCAGTGATCAGCGCCGGAGGCCGGCAGACAGCAGGAGGGCGACAAACGCGACGCATCCGGCGCCGCTTCAGCGGAGGGGGATGGCATCGTCTGCGATATGAGGATTGATGCGGCGTTTGGGCCCACATGGCTACAGAGAAAAGCGAAAGAGGAGGCGGGGGAAAGAGGCACCTCAACTTGCGGGCGGTGCCGACATGGCTAGGATCAAGAAGGGCAACGATTCCTCCTCCCTCCGGTCACGCATCGGCGAGGGATGTTCGTATCCAGGCTGTTCCCTATCGAGCGTGCCGATCGCCGAGAATACGGTGACGTTAACCTGGCCGACTTCCCCCCCTCCAATACAATGTCCAACGAGGGCGACGACGCCAGCGACGACGACGACGACGACGACGACGACGACGACGACGACGACGGCATCGGCGACGGCGACGGCGGCGCCGAGGCGAGAGCGAGATTTTGGCCTTCCGCGCGAAATGCGCGCTGCGCATTTTGCAACATGGACGACGTATGGTGAAAACGAAAATGGTAACTTTGCATTGTTGTTTAAGAAATAGGATGAGAATTCCCAGGTTGGCCGGCTATCGGCCAGTTTTGTTGCAGAGTGGGAGTCATTAGCAAGAAAGAACAAGGATAGGAACCGGTGGCAATGGCTCGCCGGGCCTCGCTGGGCCTTCTCAGCTCGGCGGAGGGCTTTGGGGCACAAGCATATTCGAACTCGATCGAGGTATTCTTAACCTGTGGGGGTCAGGACACAGGAGGAGGACGCGGACCAGGAGGGAGCGAAGCAGCCACCAGCCTCCAGCAAGCCCCCGGGAGCACCCGACCCCCGTCCGACGCTCGCGCGCGCCGTCCTCCACCGCGGAACTCTTCGAGCCCTTCGCCGAGCGCGACCTGAGAGGCCGCGCCGCGGCGGCACTGCGGGCGGTGAGGACGAGAAGGCAGACGAGGACGAGAACGACGAGGGGGGAGGGCGGGGAGGAGGGGGGAGGGGGTGGCAACGGGGGGGCATCGATCGAGCGAGCCGTCGGGCCGAATTCGGGGCTAGCTCGCGTCGCTGAGAGCCAGGTCGCACTGCACCGGACTCATTTCTGGAGTGCTCACTTCTGCATCGTGCTCACTTTCTCTGTGAAGCACGGGGCCACACATGCACGCACGTGCCGCACGGCCGAAAGCGCATGCCCGTGCAAGCACGCGAAGGCTTTCACAGCACCGCCGCACACGCAGCAGAACTGGGTAGACATGCCGATGAACATCTGCAGGCGCCCCCAACGTATGGCGGCACACGGACGCACTGGCCGCAGAGCAAGAACTGCAGTGCGACCCAGCGGTGGCCACTTCGTCCGAAGTGGTCCGCTCGCGCCACCAAGCGCACTGGACCTGTCTGCACCGACCTCCCCCGCGCAAGGGGGTCCCTTGGGGTTGAGGGGGAAGGAGATGAAGGAGAAGCATCCCCCTTCCCCGCCTCCCTCCTCGGCTTCTCCCTCCTCCTCTCCTCCCTCCTCTCCTCCCCCCTCCTGTCCTCCCTGAGCAGGGTGACGGGCCCCCCTTCCTCCTCCTCCTCCTCCTCCTCCTCCTCCTCCTCCGCCTCCTCCTCCCCTCCTTCCCCCTCCTCTCCTCCTCTCCTCCTCCTCCTCCTCTCCTCGTCCTCCTCCTCCTCCTCCTCCTCCTCCTCCTCGTCCTCCTCCTCCTCCTCCTCCTCCTCCTCCTCCTCCCCCCCCGGGGAGGGGAGAGGGGCCCGTCGTCATGCTCGGAGCCAAGCCCTCGTGTGGGGGCCTACGGCAGAGCACCGCAACACATCAATTGCAAGGTGCGCGGAGAGCCACTCGGATTCGACCCCCCGCCTCGGACGAGGTTGGGAGAACGAACAATGCAAGATAACCAGACCCCCCAGAGTGGAGGCCCAGCACCCGCCATTGGAGGTGGGTCTGGAGCCTCTGGGCATGCAGACGCCGCGCTGCGCACGAGCGGCGCTTCCCTCCCGAGGGCTGACCGAACTCGACCTCCCCTCGCCCCGAGCAGAACGAGGCGGAAGAGGAGGGAGGGGCGGAGGCGGGAGACGGAGGATGAGGAGCTCGGTCGGTCGAGGACCAATAGTGGATCTGCCACCAGATCTCCGCAAGGAGGCAGAGGGTACATGTGTCAGATTTCCAGTATCGGCCGCAGTGCGTTGCAGCAGATGCCACGAGGCCCACTGGGGCTGACGCTTCTCGAATAGCTGGCGCAAGCTCTGCAGCCTCTCACTGCCCGGTACTGACGACGATAGAAAGAAATACTTGGCCTGCCAGGCTTTCGCTTCAAGTCCATGCTCACGCACGGGTCTGGACATTGGGGGGTATAGAATCAGGCTTCGGCGCGCTGTGCAGTCTGATATTGGCATGGCGTCCGCGACGTGCCCACGGCGTGCTAGCTCCACCATCGGAATCACAGACAATCCGACAATATGCCCGTCCGTCAACAAATATACCAGGCGGACGTCGATGTCTTTGGCGCCGTAAGGGCGATACCGACGGGTCCCTCGAAACCCAGCCTTCCTTTGGAGTGCGACATGGAAAGAAGGAACGTCCAGCCTTGCAACGCAACGAGACTTTTCTGTACACAGATACTGCCGTTGATGATGATGTCCACAGGGCCGTGAGCAAGAGAAGGCGCGGTGATTGTCAACCCCGCTGCACGCAACCATTTGGCACCAAGCTGGTGCGACAGATTCGTCTTGCTGCCTAGGCGAAATAAGCATACTCCGAACCCCAGCTGGTTGCATCTTGCACTCGGTTGGATTGGCCCATGCGGATCGCAAGGTCGAGGACAGCGCGTACCAAAAACCTCGGTGGGCGTCCCGGAGTCCCACTTGCCGCCAAGAGCAATGCTGATTCCACTCGACGGCACATCGCACCCAGGGATCAGCCATAATGGTTCCTGGCCGAGATCTATTCACAACATCAACCAATCTACTCGTTCATGCCGCGGGAGCCATACGCCCCGTTTTACCGTCCCGCAACAGATGTGACCTGAAGTCCGATCCAAACATCGTCCAAACAACGACTCGGGCGTATGATTCCGTCAGACGAAGTTCCTTCGCAAAACCACTCGCATTCCAGAGAGTTGCAGATACGGGCGCGTTTCGACGATATGCTTTGCAATGGCCTCCTTGGCACTGTTGCCACCAAATCTAGCAATCCTCCACCGTGCCTTGTGCACGCTCCCAGGCGAGAAAGACTGCCAAGGCCCGACCCCCCGGCCTTCCCGCGGTCGCAGACTGCTGCGTGTACCCCCCCACCCACCGAGGCCAATTCCTGCATGCCAGCCAATGCCTTGCCCCCCCTTCCATGCGTGCCCGCTCGAGGATGGTGCCCGTTCGAGGGGTGCACTTCCCGCGCGGCAGCTAATGCCTGAGCCCCCCTTCCATGTGCGCCCGCTCGAGGATTGCCCGCTTCCCGCATGGCAGCTAATGCCTGAAGCCCCCTTCCACGCGTGCCCGCTCGAGGGTGGTGCACTTCCCGCATTGCAGCTAATACTTGAACCCTCATCCCATGCGCGCCCGCTCAAGGACTGCGCACTTTCCGCATGGCTACCACTTTTTAAGCCCCTCATCCCACGCGCACATGCTCGAGAATCGTGTACGTCCTGCAGTCCCAGGCGCGTCTCCCAAAATTTTAAGACCGCCCAGGCCACGATCCATCGTTCAAAACGATGCATGCGCGTCCCGGGCTTCCAAGGCGGCCCGTGCAAACAACCAAGGACACCAAGATGACCCAAGATGTCCCGAAGACGGCCCAAGATGGCCCAGAGGCGACCGAATAATGCTGCAACGCGGCCCAAGATGCCCCCCAAAGGGGCCACAATCGAACCTCGAACAAGGCTTGAAGAAGCCAAATTCATTGGTTTCCATTCGGCGTTCGGCTGATGGCCGCATTCTCGCACTTCGGGCTGCCGTCAGCTCAAGACGGCCCACGAGGGCCCCACGATGGCCCAAGAGGCACCCAAGACGGCCTCTCGTGCGACCCAAGGTGGCCTCCGAAGGCCCTTGGATGGCCCTTGGACGGCCCTTTGACAACCACCACACGGCCAAGGGGGTCCCACGACGGCCCCAAATAACCCAAAGCCAGCGTAAGAGGCCCCACAAACGGTCCAAGCGGGCCCCCAAGACGGCGTCACAGGATGCCAAGACAGCCCCAACACGGTCCAACCGAATGTCATCATCATCATCATCATCATCATCATCATCATCATCATCATCATCATCATCATCATCATCATCATCATCAGCATCAGCATCAGCATCAGCATCAGCATCAGCATCAGCATCAGCATCAGCATCAGCATCACCATCATCATCATCATCATCATCATCATCGTCGTCGTCATCATCATCATCAGCATCATCATCAACATCATCGTCGTCATCATCAGCGTCATCATTATTATTATCATCATCAGTATAAGCATCATCATCATGATCATCATCATCATCATCGTCATCATCGTCATCATCGTCATCATCATCATCAGCATCAGCATCATCATCTTCATCATCGTCACCATCAACACGATCACCGTCACATCACAATCATCATCATTACATCACCATCATCGTCGTCATCATCAGCATCATCACCATATTGACCATGTTCAACAACATCATCAGTATCATCACCACCACCATCATAATAATTATCACACTTATCCCCATCCCCATCCTAATCCTCATCACCACCATCATCACCATC